TATTATTTTTTTGTTTTTGTCAGTTTGTTTGCTTCTTTGTTTTTGGATGTTTGAGTTCAGAGAATCCTTGCATCAGGGCCTGTCTCTGCGGGGGCTCCTGTCCATCCGTTTCGTGCTTTTTACGGGCTATGTCAGCATTCTGGGTTTGGAGAGATACAGACCCTGCCAGTGTTGTTTCCCGAGGGCCAGGGGTCATCACTGTAGCCAGATTCAGTGCTGAATTGTTTAGCATCGGGTGGGTATCACACACTCCCCTACTCCCCACCCGGCCCACCCTCGAAGCCCCTGTGTAGGTTGGAAGGGAGGTGCCAAGCAATCAGTTCCCCATAGGTACAGGTTCAAGTGCTTCAGAAGGAACACCTTCTGTTGAAAGACTTGAACTCAGTCACACATGGACTTGAAGGAGGGAGCCAGTGCCTGGGCATTTGCTGACTCCTTGTGGGCTTCAGCTAAGAACAGGTTTGCTTCAGAACAGTAAAAGCTTGTTCAGTGACTTCCTCTGATGGCCCCCGTTCTCCTCCCCGACTGTGGGCAACTGGGAGGCTTTGGGCTGGGGTCCCGTATTTCAGCTGTTACCATATCAGACCCAGGTTGAGCGTCAGTGTCTCAGTGGTCGATTTTAGCAAATGGACCTAAGGAAGGCAGCAGAGTGCAGAAGAGTCTCTTTGAGCATGGTGAGGCCCCAGAAGCCACACCCGGGAGGGACTGCCCTTCTCCAGTGGCCTTGCTAGCCTGGGGGCCATCAATTCCCAGGGTGTGGGGGAGCTAGAGAGAGCACACCTAGTACTCTCACTCCCCTCGAGCTCCTCATGACGCACAGCCTTCATTTTCTGCTGTCTTGGAGGGTCCAGCCAAGTCTTTTTAGTGACTCTCACCCTGGGGTCGTCCTCTGGAAGGGGGCCCCTCTGGAGCAGCTAGGCTCACCCTGCCCACTGTCAAACCGCTGCGTGTAGGAATGGCTGATGAGGAACTGTGCGAGGCCTCGGTGCCCCTTGGCTCGTCACAAAAGGGAAGGTTGGAAGGAGGTCACGGGAGGAGCCCCTGGGGGCATGTCCTGTCCCCTCCCAGAACAAGGAATCTCTGCAGGCAGATGGTCTGTGCTGCAGCTGGGGGCCCGCAGCCTGGGTGTGGCAGACACTCCTCTTTGGAATGCCACCGTGGCACGGCGAGTCGGCACTCCCTCTCTTGCTCTCCGTCTCAGTGGCATGGCATAGGTCGCCCGTCAGCCCAGCCTTCCCTGCGTCGACACGCCTTTGCCCTGGCTCCAGCTCAGTGCCCCATTCGGGCTGATATTCTTTTGCTGGGAAGGAAAGAAGAAAGTGACATCCCGGAGGCAGCTACATGTGTCCAGGGAAGGGGGAGGTTGGAGGGGAGGTGCGGGACTTCCAGGGGGCCAGGCCAGCTCAGAAAAATATAGGCAGAAGGAATAGAGAGTGAGCCGTGTCCACAGGCTGCGCGCGGCATCGTGGCTTGTGTGGGAGGTGCTGGGGCGCTGCAAGTACCTGATGTGGTCTTGTAGCTCACTCTTAACCTTGGGCCCAGCCCATGGTGAGAGGTGACCTGGGCACCCCTACAACAGCCTGCCTTGGAAGGTGGCCCCTGTGCCAGTGGGCCCGGGCTTCCCAGCTCCTGCCGAGGCCTTTCCTGGCAGGTGCCAAGGAGGTTCCCCAGCCACCTTGGCCAAGTTTCCATATGCCATTTGCCAGTGTGTGGGAGCTCGCTGCGTGCGCGCGCGTGTGGGTATCTGAGAGAGTGTTCGTGGAAGTGGACAGTTTCTTCTCAAACAGCCCCAGGAAGCAAAAGGAGGGCCTTCCCAGCCCCAGGTAGTCTTGGCCAAGGATCTGGGCCAATGATAAGAGTCCGCTTAGCTGGCCAACTTTGTGGCATCAGCTCAGAATAGAAGAGATGGTCACGCCTGCTTGCAGCCCCCTCCCTCTTCCTAGGTGTACACATTCCTCTGTCCTCTCGCAGGGTGGTCTGGGGTTCAGTGGGATGGTCGGCTTCCGTCGCTGTCTGGTACCTCCAGGCTAGCTACCAGATCACCCCATTTTGCTGTAGCCTCGCTCAGGGTTTTGCCATTTGTGCTTGTGTTATGTGAAGTGGGCACAGCTCCCCACCGGTAGCAAGTTGTCGGTCTGTCTCTGCACCCCAGGGCCGGGTGGGGCCCCGGGGCTGAGCTCAGTGGCTCAGGGGTAACAGAAAGCCCTTGATCTCCCCCCTCCCTCGGCCAGAAGGACTTCCCTGGGTTTGTAGGCGTTGATCCAGAGTCATATGTCCTCTCTGGGAGATTGACGGGGAAGCCGGGGAGAAATGACAGTACAGGCCAAGATGCTGGTGCTGGTTTGCATAGGGAGGGTGTCCCTCCGGCCCTGGCAGGATCGGAGGCAGGCCCCAGCCTGGGGAAGGTCTTCCCACCACATGGCCTGCCCTGCCCTGCCCTCTCTGAGGGGGTTAGAGTCCACGAGACGGAGTGAGCCGCCTTCTTCTGTATATAGAGCGAGCCAGTACTGTGCTCAGGAAAACCTAGTCACTTGTCGCTGCTCTGTCTGTGACGTTTTCGTACACTGGTTTGCTACTCCGGGCACGAAACAAAAACAAAACAAAGTCGTTTCAAGCAACACTGTCGTTTTGGAAACTGGCTTTTCTTTTGGTGTGCGTTTTGTATTCTATTCTAAGGAATTCTTCATTTATCTTGGTGTTATTGTGGTGGAGAGAATAAGATAGTCTCATTTTTGCCAGGAAATGGACACATGCCTCTGTCCCCGCCCCCATCCTTCCCCATTCGCTGTGCACTGGGCAGATCCCTCCTGTCACGTCCCATCCCCCCACTCCCCCACTGGCTCCCTTTAGAACCAGTCTTTGTGAGCCTCCTAGACAGCAGCAGGGGGAGTGCCCTTGCCAGGCTGGTTCTTAGGTGGCCCCGTGCCCCCACCAGTTTTCTCACCTCCCCGGGGCATCTTGTAATGTATTTTCCTCTGTTTTGTAAAACCTTCTGATTGTGCCGAAATGGTTTCTGCAGTCACCTTTAGAAATAAGTGGTCATTCATTTGTGTGCTTAGCATTCTGAACTTTCAGTCTTAGCTTTTTCTGTTGTTGAAGATCCCTGAGCGGTCCCCTCACCATGGGACTTTACTGTTACAATGTTTTCTTCATTTACTCTGATTAAAAGATTTATGAGAACCCAGGAGTCCTGGCCTTCCTTTCCCAGAACCTTCTTAGAAGCCCATCTGCTTCAAAAAGTAGACAGAAAGGGGCCACTTGTCCTCCACACCATGGAGGGACCGCCAAGGGGCAGCTGGCGCTGTACACGGCTTTGCCCCGGGAGCCCTGTGGCTGGCCCTGAGCTTCATGCACTGCCTGCTTCTGCCGGGGCTGCCCCGGACGCAACAGGCCTGCTTGCTTTTAGCAGGGACTGTCTTCTGGGGACATCTGCTGGGTTCCTGGAGCCCCACAGTGTGCTGGGCCATGTGGCGTGACTGCTCTTAGAGGAGGTAACTTAGAAACCTGACATGTTCAGGGCCACCTTTCCCGGGTTCCCCGAGGGCCGGCAGGTTCCATGCCAGAACTGTTCAGCACAGGCAGACTGTCCCGTGGGGTGGGGGTGGAACACTATCAGCCCTGCCCCTTTGGGAACATTCGCACCTGCCTTTCTGAAGCCATGCACTGAGTAGCCCGTGGTAACTGTGAACAGGCCAGCCTGCCTTTGTACCAGACAGAGGCCCTACTTGGTGTTTTGCTGCTTCTCGAAGGGACACAGCTAGCCAACGTCCCCCCCCCCCCCACCACCCCCAGTGCAGGTGGATCGGCTCGTTGGCTGGTAGTTGGGCACCCAGGCTATCAATGAGGCAGGGGCCTGCAGTCCCAGGCTACAGAACCACTAGCTTGGGTCAGGCTCTCCAGCCGCCCCAGGCTCTCCACCTGCAGAACAATA